ATTCTTCACTTTTCCACCGCCGAAAATTCTTGCCCTCTCTCTCTAGAGTGCTTCTGTCTCATTTTTCGCCCGTTTCTTCGCGTTCTACGCCCGTTTCGTCGTCGGATTCGCGTTTCTCTTCGCGTTTCGGACATTTTCCACCGATCACATTCTCGTTTCGGCGTCTCGTTTGGCGTTCCCGCCTTCTCAGGGTTTGTTCCCCTCACTTTCCTCTTCATTTCCGTGCCTCTTCACATTCCGGCCTTCCCGGCCATTTCCGACCCTCTCTAGTCATGGAACCATAGCTTCAGAAGGCAAATAGTGATTTATGCTATTTGACAAATAGTAGTAATATACTGTCTCTTTTCTTTGACAAAGATCTGCCCCCCGACGGTCTGCGTCAGTTCCGGAGCTTTGAGAGGGACGCGGCGCCTGAGCTACTACTACGCGAGCCTGCCTCCCACCTTTCATTCGGCACTCCCGAGGTAACTCTTCGTCTTCTGCTTTGCTTTCTGCAATGTAGGATACAAAACTGCCATAGTTAGTTGTATTCTTTAACTGCTGAAAACTGATATGCTGTAGACCGTAGTTGACTGTAAACATACATACAACTGATATCTGCTTGAGACTGACACATGCACACACTGCACTAGCCCCGAATCACCCAAACACACTGCACTCACTGTATTTCACTGCATACACACTGGCAACCAGTATTTGTCTGAATCTGTCAAACTTGCACACACGCTTTATCTGCTCGGAACCACCCAAACACGCTGACACATCACACGCTGTAGTTCACTGTAAGCACACCGGCACCCGGTATTTGTCTAAGCCTGACAAATATAGATCAGAGGGTGTTGTTTGGGTATGTAAAATTTATCATGAGTCGTGTTTTAGTGATTAAAACTTTTTATTTTGTCACTCGGTATCTGCCTGAAGCTGACAAACTTGCATACATGCCATATCTGTCTTTTCAAAATTGCATTTTGAATGTTGTCTTGCCATTGTTGTTTTCTGTTTACAGGAGGGTTCCCATACCATTCGCGGGTATGGGAATACTGGTGCGCGGGAGTGGTATGACGAGCTCCCTGATGCGGTCCAGCGCATCGTGGATCGGGCGGGCTTCGGCACCTTCTGCCGAGGGCTCTCTAGGTTGTCCACCTGCAGACCTCTTCTTGCCGCTCTGGCGGAGAGGTGGTGGGACACCACCGATTCTTTCCACTTTTCTGCCGCAGGGGATATGACGATGACCCCTCATGACTTCTCGATGCTCACAGGCATCGGGGTAGGGGGTGATCCGATCCCCTTTGACATAGCGATGGATGAGTGGACCGCTGCTCAGGTTCATCTACTGGAGGAGGCCCCTCCGCTAGCTCGCCCAGGCTTCGTCCGCTATTCCTGGTTCGAGGCACATTCAGGGTCCAGCCCGCACTTGGGGAGGAGACTCAGATGACCGAGGAGGATGTGGAGAGGTATGCCCGTGGCTTCCTCATGTTCCTGTTCGGGACTACTATCTTCGCCGACCGGGCGAACACCGTGCCTCTCTGCCTTCTCAGCGCACTGGTGGACGTCTGAGACATCTTGCACTATGACTGGGGCGGCGCCGCTCTGGCCACCCTGTACGGCTATATGAGCTCGGCTTCTCGTGGCAGCGGCCAGCTGCTTGGAGGTTACTGGCGGGCTTGGGAGGTACATTCCTTCTCCGCTTTTCCTTTCTGTCTCGTACTTTCTGTACTCTGTACACTACACACACTGTAGTCTGCCTTAGACTCGCTGTATACTGTACACACGGCACACACATACATTCTGCCTTACACTGACTGTACACTGTTCACACTGTACACTGCACACAATACACGGCTCAACACACGGCTCTGCCATTTCTGCTTCATTCTGTATATTCTGCTTTATCTGATGGTCATACTGACATCTGTTTTGCAGTTGTGGGTTTACGCCTACTTCCCTAGGCTTGCACCCGTGCCAGTTGCGGAGCCTCCTCCGGCTGTTCCCTTCTCGAGTCGCTTTGACGGGGGATGCACCCGGCGACCACGGGAGACATTCGGCTTCTTCCGCCGATATTTCGACACCATCACCCCCACGGAGGTATGCTTTACTTTCAGTTCATTTAGCTTCGCTTTCCCACTGCATATTTCAATAACAGTAGATAACAAACTGTCTGTCACTTTCAGATCACTTGGCGGCCATGGGCTTCCTTGCCAGCGGAGATGCGGGGTCGGTTCCCTGGTGCTGAGGAGACCTCGCGTTTCCGATCCCTCCATACACGTGTATGGAGGGGAGCTCGCTTTCCGGACGCAGTGAGGCGCCCGGCTGTGGGTTGGTGTACCTGCAGGGGAGCGTGTTTTCCTACCTGCAGACCCCAGCGAAGGTTGAATAATTGGTTTGATTTAACTATAATAAGTTAAGAACGTCAAGTCACATGCCGGTTCATCACATTGTGCTGCAGAGATGAGAGAGACCGACGGGTGAATACTATGACCCTCATACTTGTGAGCACAGAGGAGCTGGATGGTTATATATAACCGTCCCATCCCGGCGGGGAGTAATGGTCCAGGGCCTGTTCGAAAACCCTTGGTTTTTAATACACTTTTAAGTGGCCAAACTTGCTTGTCGCGAATAACTCCTTAACAAGGTTGGCGACAGTTTACGATGCCGGATGTGGAGGACCTGTTATTTCTGGAACTACTCTCCATCCTTTGAAGCGGCCGAGGCTCATACTTGCGTTACTGTAGGGTCGGCTGAAGGGTTACCTGGGTGGATGTCGTGGACTGGTCGTAGCAAGCTTACGTACCATCCTGGGCGTCCGTGACGATGTCCCTGGGGCACCAGACACGGAATGGTTCCACGGCCGGCAGCTTGGGGAAGCCCAGGGTGGTCAGTTAATCGTAGCCAATCTGGCTTCGAGGAGCGGCCCGGGTCACGTCGTTAGGCGTGAGTGCTGGGAAGGAGTGACCGCAGGAGCTGGTGCCTGGCCCAGCCCTGCCCGCCCCGTGTTAACTGACCTTCCAGGGGCCGTTGCGGGGCACATCTTTGGGTGGATGCGTTTCCCTTTATGCAATTATTCCCCTGTCACGCCCCACCAGTCCACGCATGGCTGTTAGTCATCGATAATACTTTCACACCCTGAAATCCGTCCGAAACCGTTCGGCTCCATGTGGACTTTGTAGTCGAATCTGCCATTTGCCGTTACATGTTATACTCTTCTGGCGCCCGAAAGTGTCGTTTCACTTACTGTTATCTATTTGTAATAATCCCTATTTGAAATACTTAAAGATATGTTCATTTAATTGGATACCTTTGTTTGCAAGGCTTCTAATCTGTTATGATATCCAACCCGTATCAATGTCTCATATTATTATCTCGTTGTTTATTAATCTCATTATTTCTCTCAAAAAGAAGTTTGAGGCCGTTGGTATGTTATTTCCTTACTGTGTTGCAAAATGTCCTACCTCCCGGCAGTATGTCATTTTGTTTGCATGGGCGCGATTGCGTCCCATTTTGCCGAGGACAATTTGTACCTATTCGTTGCGGCTAGAGTGACATGCGGACGTGAGGGCTTGACAATTGAAGCTGGCACTTCCGGGGCTAATATTGAACCTTTGAGTGGTTCAATCTTAGCATGTCCAACTGGCCAGATTTTTATCTCAAACACATATAAATTAACAAAACTGCCTTTCCGTGTTATTTCTTGTTATTAAGTAATATAACTGTGTCGCACTCGGTGCCCGACTTGATACGATCCCGTGACAATACATGATCTTCGTTAGAAGTATCTTGAATTTACATCTGTGCTAAGTTACATAGCGACTGTCAAATCTGCGAGCACTATCTGGTATCAGAAATTCTTCGGTAGACTGAATTTATATCAATAATTAGCTATGGTTCTAAGCTTTTCTCATATATCTTAAGCATAGATTTATTATCTCCACAGAAAATTCTTGCCCACTGTAATATAGAACTAGCCTTCACGGATCATCTATCGAGTGAAAACCTGAAATATTACATAACTTATTGAGTATCACTGCTTCACAAGCTATCCATGATTTTACACTAGACTCCAGCCAAGAGTCTAGTGAGCTTGTCCTAACCTTATCCATCTCTAACCAAAGGCGTATATGCGAGCGAGCCTAGATGAGGCAAAATCTCTCTATGCACCATTAGCCGTAGAACCTGTCTTGTACCGCATTGGTAGAGGGACAATATACTGGCGAAGTCTGGCATATACACGCATTGATGAGCGTTCGTATAACTTTTCTCACGGAGTGCTGGTACACTCCGTTTTTATCACGAGGTAGTTCCCCATGGAGCGAGGACGAGGATGTTTCCAGCGATGAAGAAGACCTGGCAGAGGGAGATCGCCTCATTGGCATACGGGTGAGCGCTTATTATGTAGCGAGAGAGCGCGTAAGAAATATATTTTTCCCTGCAACGGGAGCGACACCAATAAGTTAATCTGTTACCAGGCAGAGGCACGTACTCACAGGGTCGGCGGCCGAGATCCTCGCGAGCTCGGTCCCGGACGAATGATGACGATGAGGAGTCAGAGGCCGAGCAGGGTCATCGGAGGGGAGACTCGCAGACGGCTTTCATCAGCTCGGCTGCTTGAACGACGACAGCTGATGATGCTCCTGGGACCTCGTCCAGAACGGAGGACCAGGACGTCACTGAACGCACTTTGGCATCGACTTGGACTCAGCATGCGATTTGCTATCTTTTCTTCTTTCTTGTCTTTTCTTTTGTTGGTAGATAGATTACCTTGTACTGCCGCGGCAGATTTTTGTTTCCCCAAAATTTGTAATTTTGAAAAGATAATCTGAAATAAACGGACTTTTTATCTGAACAGAAGCACATAATGATAATACTCAATTTTGTCACTCTGCATTAGTTGTCAGTAAAGTAACACAGTCTGCCTATTCCGGAATCTATGTTACAGTACTACGT